CCCTGATTCTCGATCGTCGATGGAGGTCGGAATTCCGGATTCCTTTTCTCACTTGAGTGAAGCATGATACTCCAAGCATGGTTCCTTTTTGGGAGACCCGAATAGCATTCTCATCCTGGTTTCATAGGGCCCAGGTCTCTGAGGCATATGTTATTGCAGGAAGAATAGTGGAGTCAAAGAGATGCATGGAGCTAGAGGTTCTTCGTCTTCTTAACCTCTTCGACTCTCTTGAAGGCGTACCACGCCGCTCTCTTCCTGCAGCTCAGGTGACAGATTATTCGTCATATTGAGTTCTCCACCTAGGTACACATAACTGTTGCATTCGGAGATGTTTGTTCCCTTGAGAGCGAATGGAAAGACAGGAACGAGTCCATTTCTCACGAACATTGTCCTCGTGAGATTCAGCTGCAGTCCAACCTTTCCACACTCACGGTCAGAGCTGGCCAGCATTTGTGCCACTTGGCTAATGTTTGGTGTTACTAGAACGATGTCTTTAGCAAAGCAGAGGTGGTGAAGTTGCCGACCATCTATCTTCACTCCCATTCCTTCCCATTCCAGTCATCACATGACATTCTCGAGGGTGGAACTGAAGAGTTTCGGTGAAATGGCATCACTCTGCCAAACCCCTCTCTGTATGTCGATGACCAATGACTAGTTGATACTCAAAAATCTATTTCTGTGTCTTGTTGGTTGGGTAAAATAAAACACTAAATGACAGTTTGAGAAAGGCTTATTGCTTCCTGATTTTGATGGATCTGGGAACATATTATTTACAATGAAAATCTTGGTAATTTACTGTAGCAAGTAGCCAATAGTTTATCAAAACCAAATTATACAGACTAATAAATCTTTTCCACAGTATTCAATTTTCTAGTATCTTGCAATTGTACATTGCATACTTTTTTTAACTCATGTTACATACTTTTTTTTTTTTTTTTGCTTTTTGGGTCACACCCAGCGATGCACAGGAGTTACTCCTGGTTCATGCACTCAGGAATTACTCCTGGTGGTGCTCGGGGGACCATATGGGATGCTGGGAATCGAACCTAGGTCAGCTGTGTGCAAGGCAAACACACTACCCACTGTACTATTGCTTCAGCCCCTATATAATTTAGTATAATTTCTGGGCAGTTTGCTCTTTGTATACAATAGCAAACAATGAATATTTTGTGGGCCACCCTCACAATACATGTGGTAACAGATTTATTTCAACTTTTCTTTCAAAATTGTACATAAAAAGAAACCTTCCATTCTAACTTGATTTATGTTAGACTACATGTGATTGAAGGATTTGTACATTCTGTATGTTTTTACTAAATATGAAAACATTAATGTTGGGGAAAGGTAGCAAATACATGTACTTAGAGTTTGGTCATATTACATTAAAACTGTAGATTTGTATATCTATGTAGTATGTATTGATGGTGGATGGAGCGATAGCACAGCTGTAGGGCATTTGCCTTGCACGCAGCCAACATGGCCGACCCGAGTTCAATTCCTCCGCCCCTCTCGGAGAGCCCGGCAAGCTACCGAGAGTATCTCGCCCGCACGGCAGAGCCTGGCAAGCTCCCCGTGATGTATTCGATATGCCAAACACAGTAACAACAAAGTCTCCAATGGAGACGTTACTGGGCCCGCTCGAGCAAATCGATGATCAATGGGAGGGCCTTTACTTACTTTACTTTATGTATTGATGGCATTCCTATTAATTTTTTTGCTCCTTGGATAGCTTTTTTTTCCTTTTTCTTCTCCATCTTTGGATTGTTGTCTTAATTTGGTTCAAGATTGGATATATACTAAACTTTTAAAAACTTATTTTAATAAATTTATATTGTAACCTTTTATAGTTTTTGAATACATTACACAAGTTTCCCTAAAAAAAAAAGAAAAAATACTAAGCTATCAAGTCAAATTCATTGTATTTGATACTTTTATCCACCATAAATATTATAGTATTTATGTGAATTTTATGTATATGTGAGCATATATTAATGTTGATGAAGAGATGTCTTATGTATGACCTATGAGACTCTAAATGCAAGGATAGAGCCAGAGAGAGAGTGTAGAAGGTGAGGCACTTGCCTATCATGTGGTCAACAACAACAACACTGTTGTTCATCGATTTGCCCGAGCGGGCCCAGTAACATCTTCATTTTGAAACTTGTTGTTACTGTGTTTGGCATATTGAATATGTCACTGGTAGCTTGCCAGGCTTTGCCATGTGGGCAAGATACTCTTGGTAGTTTGCCAGGCTCTACGAGAGGGGCGGAGTAATCGAACCCAGCTTGGCCGGACTGGCTTCGTGCAAGGCAAATGCCCTATCGCTGTGCTATTGCTCCAGCCCATCATGTGGTCAATCACATGGAAAAAGTAGAAATTAAATAAAATGTTCTTAATATGATAGAATGAATTTATCAAAATCCACAGGAAAAAAATTTGATTTATAAAGCATTATTCTTATAGTCAGGAAACAGAAAAAATTTCTCACGATTAAAAATTGGATATTTTGCAAATAAATTTTTCTATACTTTTTATAGCATTTTACCATGGATTAAACCCAGAGATGTGTGCTCTATAGTTGAGCTTCATCTCTAATCCTAACAAATGCAGTTTTTAAATAGTCCCTACTAATCTTCTTAATTCTTGTAACATTTGAGAAAAATCTTTAAGATATTTTTCTTATTCCATAAAATTTACTTCAGTTCTCTTGTTTCTAGGTAATTGTTCTCAATCTCTTTTGTTTTTTAGAATTTTATTTTTAATGTGTTCTAAGATTTTTTCCTTGTTCTTCAATGTTTTTTCTATACAAGCTACCTAAGTGAGTTCTTTTTATTTCTATTCAGTTGCTACAAATATGGTATGAACCCAAATTTTACCTGTAATGACCAAAGAGATAGTACAGTGGGTAAGGCGTTTGTCTTGCATACAGCTGACATAGGTTTAATTCCCGGTATTCCATATGGTCCTCTGAGCCCACCAGAATGACTCCTGAGTGCAAAGCCAGGAGTAACCTGAGTAAAGCTGGGTGTGGCTCAAAAACCAAAACAAAAAATATTTTACCTATAGTTCCCTAAGCACATGCAACCTCAGATGAAGGTTCTTTCATGAAGTTGTTTACTAAGATAACCTCTGGCACTCAAAATTTTATTTTATAATCAGACCAGTTTTTCAATAGCCCAAAATGTTAAAAAGTAAAATTTTATGTTATTTCCCCACCACCAATCAACACCAAAATTGTTCTCCAACCTGACGGCCCAGGCTGAGTTATATTCTGAATATCACATTCATTTATGAAGATGTCAGGACAGCAAGACCAAGGAGGAAATCCCTCAACACAGAACCAGGAAGAGCTCCTAGGTATAATTCAAAACCACCCATCACCCACCCCAAAGACATCCAGACTAGTGCCAATTTAACACCTATGGGATACAAAAGGAGTAACAGAAATGGTAGAAGATGTCCTGCCAAAGAAATTTCAGGTAAACTACTACACTGCCCATTTTCTTAAATGTACTTAAAATTCTTTCTTTCTTCAACATTTTCCCAGATGCCCAGTTCCTTAATAATATGTGCTCTTGGGGCTAGAGATACATTCCAGCAAGTAGGGTGTTTGCCTTGTAAACAGCCAACTCAGGTTCTATCCTAGGAAACCCAAATGGCCCCTGATCCCTGCCAGAAGCGGCCCCTGATCCCTGCCAGAAGCAAATCCTGAGTGCAGAACCAGGATTTAGCCTTGAGCACTACCAGGTATGAATCCTCAAAATAATAATCCACCACGGTACCACGGTCCTCCCGTTGTTCATCGATTTTCTCGAGCGGGCCCAGTAACGTCTCCATCGTGAGACTTGTTACTGTGTTTGGCATATTGAAGACGTCACGGGTAGCTTGCCAGGCTCTGCCATGCGGGCGAGATACTCTCAGTAGCTTGCCGGGCTCTCCGAGAGGGGCGGAGGAATCAAACTCGGGTCAGCCATGTTGGCTGCGTGCAAGGCAAACACCCTACCGCTGTGCTATCGTTCCAGCCCAAAACAATAATAAAATAAAATAATAATAATGTGTCCTATAAAGAGATTTCCTCCCCATTTCTCTATATTGAAAATAAGGCAATCCACGACTGGTTCAGCCCTTTTGGAAAACAGTATGGACAATTCTCAAAAAATTAGAAATTGAGCTCCCATTTGACCCAGCAATACCACTCCTGGGAATATATTCCAGAGAGGCAAAAAAGTATAGTCGAAGTGACATTTGCACTTGTTTGTTCATTGCAGCACTCTACAATAGCCAGAATCTGAAAAAGACCTGAGTGCCCAAGAACAGATGGCTGGTTAAAGAAACTTTGGTACATCTACACAATGGAGTACTATGTAGCTGTTAGAAAAGATGAAGTCATGAAATTTACATACAAGTGGTACCACATGAAAAGTATCATGCTAAGCGAAATGAGTCAGAAAGAGAGGGATAGATATAGAAAGATTTCATTCATCTGGGGAACATAAAGTAACAAAATAGGAGACTAACACCCAAGAAGAGCTGAGATAAGTATCAGGAGGTTTACTCCATGGCTTGGAGGCCAGCCACACATTCTAGGGGGAAAACGCAGCTCAGATAGAGAAGGGAGCACCAAATAAAGGGTGTTGGGAGGATCCTCCCAGGATGGGAGAAGCATGCTGAAAGTAGACTATAGACTGAACATGATTGCCACTCAATTCCTCTTTTGCAAACCACAGCACCCAAAAGTAGAGAGAACAAAAGGGAATGCCCTGCCACAGAGGCAGGGTGGGATGGGGGGATGGGGGGTGGGAGGGATACTGGGATCTGTGGTGGTGGGAAATGGGCACTGGTGGAGGGATGGGTATTTGATCATTGTATAATTGAAACCCAAGCACAAAAATTTGTAAGTCTACAACTGTACCTCATGGTGTCTCTCACTAATAAAGATTTAAAAAAAGAAAAAAAAGAAAAGAAAAAGAGAAAAGAAAAGAAAAGAAGGCAATCCCTACCTCATTGTCTGTTCCCAAAGCATTGATTTGCTCCAATTTGTAGGTCCAATATCTGGCTTCCTCCTCTGGGATATCTACCACAAAAAAAAAGAAAAAAATTGCATTACCAGGTTAATGATTTAATCATAAGAAAAATACTTTATGCAATCAAATGATCACAGAAGAGTAGTAGTCTTACTAGTCTAGTCTTACTAGTAGATTGGTTCTTTCATATACTCAATAATATACCACTGTTCCCATTGAATTGAGACTTAGTATTGTGAAGATGTCAATACAATCTAAAATGATAAAATCTGGAGAGATATAGTACAATGAATAAGGGTGTTTGCCTTACACAGGGCCAACCTAGGTTTGATCCATTGGCATTCTACATTATGGTCCCCTGAGCCCAACAGGAGTGATCTATGAGCACACAGCCACGAGTAGTCCCTGAGCACCGCTGGGTCTGGACCAAACAATAACAGCAACAAAAAAAGTTTAGTTCATTTGAGGGATGGAGTGGTAGTGGTAATGGATGGAGTAGTAAACTGGGGTAGGGTGCTTGTCTTGCACACAGCCAACCCAGGATTTGTTTCCCAGCAAATGGTATGGCCCCCAAGCATTAATTTGAGTGACCCCTGAGTTTAGAGCCAAGAGTAAGCCCTTAGTACAGCTGGAGAAAGCAAAAAAATAAAATATAAATTAAAAAATAAATTATTGGGGGCTGAAGCGACAGTACAGTGGGTAGGGCATTTGCCTTGCATACGACCAACCCAGGTTCAAATTCCAGCACCCCATATGGTTTCCTGAGCACTGCCAGGAGTAATTCCTGAGTGCAAAGCCAAGAGTAACCCCTATGCATTGCCAGGTGTGACCCAAAAAGCAAAATAAATAAATAAATAAATTATATACAAATTTAATAAATTCCTAACAAAATCACAAAAATGTTTTTTCAGAAACTGAAAACCCCATCCTAAAATTCATATGAAACTTAATAGACCTCAAATACCAGGCAAGCTTCGGGGGCTGGAGCAATAGAACAGCAGGTAAAGTGTTTTTCTTGTGTTCAATTCCTGGCATCCCATACAGTTCCCTGAACCTGCCAGGAGTAATCCTTGAGTGTAGAAGCTAGGACAAATACCTGAGCATGCTGGGTGCAGCCCAAAACAAAAACAAACAAACAAACTAACTTTCTTTTAAAAAGAACCTTAGTGCTTGCTTTGCATGCAACCAAACTGAGTTCAATCCCCAGGAGCCCATATGGTCCCCTCCAGGCCCTCCCAGAGCCAGGAGAAACCCTTGAACCCAAATTCAAACCCTGGCACCACATCTGTGCCCTGCTGTTCACTGCTATTCGTGGTCCTGGAAGCTCCACATTCCTTTGGGGTGGTCCTAGTAATCCTGGAATTGCAGGATCCACACAGAGCACATCTGTGGGCCCAACCATTGAACCAACCAGCACAGATGACTAAATATCACTGGGAGGGGCACCCAGTTTCCCTGAGTACTGCTTGGGAAGTCTATCCATCCAAAACAAACAAGCAAGCAAACCATTTCAAACAATTTGGTAAAGTTTATCAAATCAAATAGACTCACCAAAAGGCAGTTCGAATCTTGTATCAAGCAAAATTTTATGGGGAGTTGGGTTTTTAGTTCCACAGATCTCATCATCTTTCATTAATGTCTCTGCCTCCAAGGTAGACCACTCCCCAGGTCCTTCCTAGAAAACAGGGTTCCAAGATTAAATATTATTCTTTCAGACTTCCCTCTTGCTTTATGAGTCGGGTGTTTTTCTCTGAAGTTCCATGGTGGGAAAATTTCAGGTGCACTCATGTCCTGATGAGGTAAACATCACTGTCATCACCTGCCTCTGCTGAATATGACCTATGTTCTCTCTCTTTGTTTGTAGAATGGCTTTCATTGTACTCAGCTCTCTGGAGGCCCACTGGGTATCATTTCCAGAGTGCCAAACTCAAAACCAAGCTTGTCCATGAATCAATATTTATCAACATTTAATACGCACAATTCTTAAATGATTACTTAATGACATTCAACATTTCTATATTTTGTTTTGTTTTGAGCCACACCTGGCAATACTCAGGGGTCACTCATGGCTCTGCACTCAGGAATTATTCCTGAAAGAGATCAGGGGACCATATAGGATGCCCAAGATCAAACCTAGGTCAGCTGAATGCAAGGCAAATGCCCTGTCTGTTGTACTATAGCTCTGGCCCCCACCGCACCACTTCTAATTAGCAAAGACTCACTGTATCACTGTCATACTGTTGTTTATCGATTTCCTCAAGCAGGCACCAGTAACATCTCCTTCGTCCTAGCCCTGAGATTTTTGAAAGTGCCACATTCAAGGCTCTTTCAGGGTCATAAGAATGAGACCCACCATTGTTACTGGTTTTTGGCATATTGAATATGCCACGGGGAGTTTGTCAGACTCTGCCCCCCGCCGTGTAATCCCATCAACGGTCAAGACCCAGAGACTATAAAACCCAGCCCCAGCGTGACATCTTATTATCTAGTTCTTACTGTAAAGACTTACTAATATTGTTAATTAAATAAACCTAAACTAGACCACAATGAAGCTGAACTGCCCATCTACTAGGGAAAATAGAGACTTAGTCAGAACTCAAAAACAATTTAGGAACAAAAAGAAAACACATCTTTACCATTCCTACTCCCAGAGAAAACTCAGAGTCCATGTTAAAGCCAAATAGGAATATAATAGGGTTAGGAGTGTAGCTTAGTACAAGAATGTATGCCTCACACATGTAAAGTCCTGGGTTCAACCTCCAGCACCACAAAAAAAAAACCCAATAATGGAATATAACAGATTATATCCAAGTTCAAAGTGAGAGTTGAGTTATAGTCTAACTTGGGAAAATCAAGTGGGAGTTTTTTTTTTTTTTAGTTTATTCTTCAAAATAAAAGTGAACAGCAAGTGCCATGTCTGATAGTTCCATAATATTAAAATTAGTTCCCTGGGAATTGGTGATTGAAAGAAACAAACAAACAAACAAATAACAGAATCGAATCCAGATTAAGTCTGATGGGTCTTTTCCTTGGTCAGTAATTTAAAGGGGGGGGGGGGCATAGAAACCACTTTAGTTCATAATACACACACACACACACACAAGAAAGGACTACATACCTGATATTGCTGGCACCTACATATTTCTTCACTGAAAATACAGACTTTAAAAAATCTCCTGAATCTTTGGGAAAGGTCAGAAACAGTTTGGTTACAAGTCTTCTGATTAAAAAGGGAGCAGCACGATTTGGAAGCCAGCCTCACATGCTGGGGGAAAAGGCAGCTCAGATAGAGAAGGGACCACCAAGTAAAGGGTGCTTGGAGGGCCAGCTTGGGATGGGAGATGCGAGCTGAAAGTAGACTATAAACCGAACATGATGGCCACTCAATACCTCTACTGCAAACCACAACACCCAAAAGGAGAGAGAAAGCAAAAGGGAATACCCTGCCACAGAGGCGGGGTGGAGGTGGTAGGAGGGATACTGGGATCACTGGTGGCGGAGAATGGGCACTGGTGGAGGGATGGGTACTCGATCATTGAATGACTGAAAAGTAAGCACAAAAGTTTGTAAGTCTGTAACTGTACCTCACGGTGATTCATTGAAAAATTTTTTAACCTCCCTAACTTCAAACTCTACTACAAAGCAGTAATAATTAAAACAGCGTGGTACTGGAACAAAAGCAGAACTGCAGACCAATGGAACAGGGTTGAATACACTGACATCTCCCCTCAATCATATGATCATCTAATCTTTGATAAAGGTGCAAGAAATGTGAAGTGGAGTAAGGAAAGCCTCTTTAACAAATTGTGCTGGCATCACTGGACGACTACATGCAAAAAAATGGGCTCAGAACTCTGCCTAACACCATGTACAAAAATAAGATCAAAATGGATTAAAGACCTCAACATCAGACCAGACACCATAAGGTACATTGAAGACAAAGTTGGCAAAACCCTCCATGACATTGAGGCTAATGGTACTTTCAAAGATGCCATGCCACTGGCCGAGCAAGTGAAAACAGAGATAGATAAATGGGACTATCTTAAACTAAGAAGCTTCTGCACCTCCAAAGAAACAGTGACCAAAATACAAAGACAGTCTACAGAATGGGAAAGGATATTCACCGAATACACATCTGACAAGGGGTTGATAACAAGGATATACAAAATACTGGTGGAACTCCACAAGAAGAAAACATCCAACCCCATCCAAAAATGGGGCAATGAAATGAACAGAAACTTTCTCAAAGAAGAAATCCGAATGGCAAAAAAGCACATGAGAAAATGCTCTACATCATTAATCATCAGGGAGATGCAGATCAAAACCACAATGAGATACCATCTCACACCTCAGAGACTGGCCCACATTCAAAAGAACAAAAGCAACCGATGCTGGCGCGGATGTGGCGAGAAAGGGACACTCCTTCACTGTTGGTGGGAATGCCGACTAGTTCAGCCCTTTTGGAAAACAGTATGGACGTTTCTCAAAAAATTAGAAATTGAGCTCCCATTTGACCCAGCGATACCACTCCTGGGAATATACCCCAGAGAGGCAAAAATGTGTAGTCGAAGTGACATCTGCACTTGTTTGTTCATTGCAGCACTCTTTACAATAGCCAGAAACTGGAAGAAACCTGAGTGCCCAAGAACAGATGACTGGTTAAAGAAACTTTGGTACATCTACACAATGGAGTACTATGTAGCTCTTAGAAAAGATGAAGTCATGAAATTTACATACAAGTGGTACAATACGGAAAGTATCATGCTAAGCGAAATGAGTCAGAAAGAGAGGGATAGACATAGAAAAATTGCATTCATCTGGGGGATATAGAGCAACAAAGTATGAGATCAATACCTAAGAATAGCTGAGATCAACACCAGGAGGATTACTCCATAGCTTAGAGGCCAGCCGGATATTCTAGGGGAAAGGGCAGTTCAGATAGAGAAGGGAACACCAAATAAAGGGTGTTTGGAGGATCCTCCCAGGAGGGGAAATGCATGTTGAAAGTAGACTATGGACTGAACATGATTGCCACTCAATGCCTCTTTTGCAGACCACAACACCCAAAAGGAGAGAGAGAACAAAGGGGAATGCCCTGCCACAGAGGCAGGGTGGGAGGGGGGGGTGGGGGGAAATGAGCACTGGTGGAGGGATGGGTATTTGATCATTGTATGACCGAAACTCAAGCACAAAGATTTGTAAATCTACAACTGTACCTCATGGTGCTTCACTAATAAAAAAAAAAAAAATTTAAAAAAAAAAACTTAAAAGAATGGCAAAAAGAATTATCAGAAAATAAGTCAATAAAATTCCATTTGTGATAAAATAAATAAATAAAAATAAAAAGGGAGCAGCAATCTGAGATTCAGAGGTGATTATTAGCTGGATCTATGAAAAGGGAGAGACAAAGGCAAGAACTATTCCTCGGAATGAGCTCACTAACCTCATCTGATTGACGAATAGTCTTCAGTGCAATCCACACAGTTCCCACCATGGTGTCCCAGATCAGTCCCTTGTTCCATACCTCCACACTTAGACCCAAGTCCAGGCGATTAATCTCACTAAAGGAAAGAAGAAAGCCCTTTAAACAATCACATAATATGAAAGAAACAGTAGTACCTCCAATTTCACATCATTAATACTTTCTCACCAGGACCTTGTTACTGGGGAAAATCAAAATGTCTTAGAAGACTGCAAGCACACTCTAGATTACTAGAAACCTAGGTAAGTTTCAGAAAAATGCCTGTCTGCCTGATCAGCATTTCACAGAAACCTATGAGGCCATTGAGGACATTATCAATGAGAACATTACTAACAAGTCTGTCTACCAACAATCTCCAACTTTTAATGATAGTTTTATGCTTTTTAAATAGTTTTATGTTTTATTTGCCAAAAACTAACACTGCTCCCAATTTATACTTATAGACGTAATATAGACCAAATGCAAGAAACTGTTAGAAAAAAAAGTCTTATACCAGATTTATGAAAGAGTCCAAGCACAAGTAAAGGGGCTTCTGAAAAGGTCTAAGTTTGATGGGAACAATGACAAGCAGGTGAGGAACACTGTAATTTGCCAGAATATACTCCTCAGCTGCTAGTGAACCTGCTAGTCATAACCAGTTAAAGTTGACTATCACTAATTTTTTAAAAATTATTACAGAACAGTGGTAAACAATAATTTTCCTATAGAAGCAATTAGGAAAAATATTTGAAATAAAATCATTCCAAAAACAGCTATAACAAAACCAAACAAAATCAGTGTCATGCATGGTCAAATATCAGCTTGGAAGAACTAATCCCTGTATAATCCATCTTAAATTGGAAACAAACACTTTAAATTAATGCTCAAAATAAATCCCTTACTACAAAGCTCTAATTAGAATATAATGTTACTGAAGGGAATATAAGAAAAATGATACAATGGGTCAAAGCAATAGATAAAGGGCTAGAATGGGGCCGGAGTGAAAGCACAGCGGGTAGGGCATTTGCCTTGCATGCGGACAACCTGGGTTCGAGCCATGGCATCCCATATGGTCCCCCAAGCACCACCAGGAATAATTCCTGGGTGCAGAGCCAGGAGTAACCCCTGAGCATAGCCAGGTGTGACCTAAAAAGCCAAAAAAGGGGGCAGGGGTGCTCGAGCACATGGTTTGCATGTGGAATCCACACATTTGATCCCCAGCAATACATGTTTCCCCAAGAACCATAAGGAGAAACCCTTGAGCTTAGTTCAGGGAGTAGCCCAAGAGCACCACATGGTGTGCCCTCCCAAGAAAACATAAGAAATGTGACTCAAAGCAAATTCCACAAGGAAAAAAAAGCTAAAAACTAATCTTAAGAAAACAACAATTTATTATATATAAAACTTCAAGTGTATGCTTCAGAGAAAGCCTGGGTTCCCTGTTATATTATTAAGACATATGTTCTCAGATTCACAAGTTTGGGAAATTATATTACATGGTCATCAAATTTATATAAAATCTATGTTTGTGTTGAAAACAAGTGAAGCAAAAAAATTTTTCATCTTTTACATAAATATGGTTAAACAGAAAATTATCTAAGGACTTCATTTGTTCATTCAATTAGTATTTTCTGAGAGGACTGTAAATGTGAATCAGTGGTAAAGTACATGCCTGCCTGCAGGAAATCTGGTTTCTTTTTTTGTTTTTTGCTTTGGGACCACATCTGGTGGTGCTTAGGGGTTACTCCTGGCTCCGCACTCAGGGGTCACTTGTGGCAAGTCTGGGGGCCCAAATAGGATGCTGGAAATCAAACCTGGGTTGGCCATGTGCAAGGTAAACACTTGCTATGCTATTTCTCCAACTTCAGGAAATAAGATTTGTATATGTAATACTGCAAAAGAAATGGGGGGTGGGGAATTTCCTGAGCATATACAATACATATAGCTTAGGGTCCAGTTTCAGTCTCTGAAAATCTTAAATATGTCTGGAGATGGACTGGACCAATAGTACAGTGGGTAGGGTACTTGCCTTGCACATGATCGATGGAGATTTAACCCCCTACATCCCATATGGTCCTCTGAACACCACCAGGAGTAATTCCTGAGTGCAAAGGCAGGATCCTTAATCCCTAAGGAATACTTAATCCCTAAGTATTGCAGGTGTGGTGAAATAAATAAATAAATAAATAGTAAATGCTGGTGCTCTCCATGCTCTGGCCCTTCTCTCACCCTATACCTGCCCGCTCCCCTCTCCCCACTAACCTTTCTCATCTACACCTCATCTTCAACTCACCAAAATATTTCTTCAATCTAAACTTCTTAGTTAAGTGTGACATTCAGCTTTCTAATTGTCTTCTGAAGCTCACAACTCCTTATCTTATAAGACCTTCAAAAGTAAAATAACTTATGGACCTTATACTATAAAACTCGCAAAAATTTTTTAATTTTTATAAAACCTTATTAAAAACCCTCAAAAATAAGTTTTGAGGATTTTATAAAATAAGGTCCATAACTTATCTTAGATTATCCCCCATAATAGTGAGTAGAACACCACCAACTGTTCAATCATTTAAGACAGATTTTGATTCTACCTCCTAAATAGTATCTAATTTTTCTCTCTATCCCTTCTACAACTATTTTAGCCCAACCACCTAAAACCTTACTATTTTCTTTATTGCCTAAAGTTTCATAAACACAAAAAAGGTTTATATTAAAAATCCAGATGAACTGCTTTCCCATAAAGAGTTATCATTTCTGTTTCTGATACACAGTATAAAACCTGCAAAGCATTCACTCTAATTTCAAATTTCATAAAAATTTTAATACATTGGGGCTGGAGCGATAGCACCACGGGTAGGGCCTTTGCCTTGCAAGCGGCCAACATGGGTTCGATTCCTGAGTGCAGAGCCAGAAGTAACCCCTGTGCATTGCTAGGTGTGACCCAAAAAGCAAAAAAAAAAAAAAAAAAAAGTAATCCATTTTATTGTTTAATCACCTGATACCAACCTCTCAAAAAAACAAGCATATACTTTTAAGAAAGGTTGATCTTTATAGATAAGAAAACTGACAAAATAGCTAAATAATTTATACAGTCCTCCAAAATAATATTCTATACTTCTTGCCCCTTTATGAAAGTAGGGAAAAAATTTTCCTGAAATTTAAAGGAAAAAAGGAATATCAAGTTTTTATAGCCAAAGTTTATAGTCACAATAAATTTTGTGTCATATGAAAGAAATTCTAAATTTTATTCATTTATTAAGTAGATGAATTAATTAAATGCATAAAACACTTTTAAGAAAGAAAAATAATTATGAGCTCAGAAATCCTCTTCCTAAGCAGATGATCTGGTTACAAATACAATACTACATTCCTTTGAGTAACCTTTTGATAATCAGAGAATGGTCATGTTTAATATCATACTAAGTACATTGTATCATATCCTAATTCTGACCACTGAAGAAATCTCACTAGATATTTTCTCACATAAATTCATTTATTTTTATGGATATTTAAAATTTATCTTTAAGAACATATTGCAAGTCCAAAAGAGAGAACTACAGATGCACTTCACCTATCACATACATTTCTTGTTCCTACAACTATAGTTTCTAAAAAGAATATTCAACATGTTAATAGATTTAAATGTTTTGGAAATATGTATCTGGTTTTGTTTTGAGGCTATACCAGGCAAAGCTCAGGGGCTATTCTAGCATAATGCTAGGGAGTCATGGGTGGAGCACCTGGGCTTCCTACAAGCAAAGTTGCACTCAGTCCATTGAGTGCAACTGAAATACTGCCTGAAATACTTAGCTTATTTTATAAATCTTATACATACACAAAATATTCAGGCTCAAGAAGTCTGAAAATGTATCCATTATTGTAGGCTAGTGACGCTATAAAATACTTACAACATAAAATCTTGTTCCCAGGAAGGCTGGTCCCCACGCACTGCTACTGTTGTGCTCTTCACATTCTGAACTTTCAGGGTCACATATGTATTAAATTTATCTTTAGAAAAATGCAAAATTAAGATGTAATCTTTGTGTTATGGTTATTTCCCAATCTCACAAAACCCTTGGAAATAAGTAATATCCAAATTAAAGATTTAAAAAAAAATGACAGATATGTAGTATAATATAGCATCATTTTACACAGAGTTCAAAAAAAATTATAGAATACATAATCACTGTCACTGTCCTCCTGTTGTTCATTGATTTGCTCGAGCAGACACAGTAACGTCTCCATTGGAGACTTTGTTGTTACTGTGTTTGGCATATCGAATACATTACGGGTAGCTTGCCAGGCTCTGCAGTGTGGGCGAGGTACTCTCGGTAGCTTGCTGGGCTCTCCGAGATGGGCGAAGGAATCGAACTCAGGTCAGCCATGTTGGCTGCGTGCAAGGCAAACGCCCTACCGCTGTGCTATCGCTCCAGCCCAGAATACATAATATCTTCACAAATATAGCCTATAAAGTTATTTTCAAATTTAAGAACTACATTTTATATTTTCCCAGTAGAAGACATACATATACATATGTATAAGCTAAAAGAAGAGCTTCATGAGCCAGATGTAATACAATGATAATTTATTCTATTAGCTGATAATCATTACTAACTGGCTTTTATAGCCCACCTAAAGTTTGGGGAGAAACACTGATCTAACTTATTAGTTGGCTGCATGCAAGGCAAACACCCTACCCACTGTGCTATCGCTCCAGCCCCAAAAAAAAAAAACTTATTAGTAGGAAAGATATAAATTTAATAAAATGTAGAAAGAGATTCAGAAAGATAATTTAATAGCTGAGCACATGCTTTGCATGAAGGAATCCTGGATTTGATCCCCGGCACATGTTTTCCCAAGCACAGAACCAGAAGTATGCCTTGAAAACTACCAGGTGCAGCCCTCAAATTTTTTTTTAACTGAAAATAAATAAAATGTACAAAAAATAAGCACAAGAGAAAAAGCAATAAAGAACTGCCAAGGTTAGAGAGTTAGAGTTAACTCTAGCCATTGACTAGTATGAAAAATGAGGGAAAATCTATACAATAGGTTTCAAGCTTGACCTGTTCAGTTTGTCCTAAATAGTGCAACTTACATAAAAAGAAATATTTTAACCTGTTCAATTTGGCGTATATCAAAACTTATACAAAAAGAAATATCAGAGCTGGAGCAATAGTACAACAGATAAGGAGTTTGCCTTGCACATGGCCAACCCAGGTTTGATCCCCAGAATCCCACATGGTTCCCTGAGTTAGATTAATTCCTGAGTGCAGAGCATCGCTGGGTGAGATCCAAAATGCCTATATATATATATATATATATATATATATATATGTATATATACTTATATATGTGTATATATATGTATATATACATATATATACATATATATATATATATATCAAAGAGCTGAGAAAAGGAAATTCTCTAACCTGAGTATAAAAGTTGAGAATAAAACAAAAATAGGTGAACTGAAACTCAAAACTCCAACAACTGAATTATTGCTTACCACAGCATATTTTGCATTCACCCTCTTACCTCTGCATCAGCCAGCAAGAGGGACACTGAGTTGAGATACAGTTTTCAGTGTAAGAAATTGTAATTTTGGAAAATAAAAAACAGAATAGCATTTTGGACTTTTCATTAAAATGCATATTTCTAACACATACTATTTGAAGTATGAGAAAATTAGCCCCACTGTGTACGTCCAAGAAAGTAAATTTATTAAATATTAACACTATATAATTTAATGAATGAAAGAGAAGCTTAGTATGCCAGGTTGGACATATCTAGTATGCCTTGCATGTGCTACTTCAGTTCTGGGCACCTCTAGGAAGGATCCCTGAACACTACCATATATAGCCTAAAACACCCAAAATAAAGTATGTATAATTTTATACTTATGAAATGTTTACAACTGTAATAAAAATATATTAAAATACAAAGATCACCCATATGAGGAATTTCTATCTGTATTAAGTAGCAGCAGTAGAGTAGTCCACTGAGCTATATTTTTTTACATTTTTTTAATCCAGCCAACATCCAAACATAGCTAACAGGACCAGGACCAAGCTACCATCCAAGGACCTCCAAAAAGAGGTGGGCTTAAGGTCAACTTAATTTTATCTCAAATTGACATTCATGATTAGGGAAATGTGTACTAAAACAAGAAAATGTCATTTTTAAAATGCCATGTTCAGAGGGAAAAAAAATTTTAAAGTTTCACAATAGTAGGTAAAGATATACACAGGATAACCTTTCAGTACCTGTATTGCAAACTATAATGTCCAAAAGAGAGAGAGAGATGCCCAAAAGAAATGTCCAAAAGAAAAAGAGAGAGAGAGAGAGAGAAGAAAAGTGCCTTCCATAGAGACAGGATGCGGGTAAGGGTGGCAGGAGGAAAACTGGGGGCATTTGTGGTGGCAAATGTACGCTGGTGAAAGGACAGCTGTTGGAACATTATATCACTGAAATTCAATCATGAACAACTTTGTAACTGTGTATCTTATGGTAAATCAATTAAAAATAAAGTTTCACAGTATTCGATGTCAATAAATTTTGAAGAAATAAATTTTCCCATATGTTTGGTTCAAATATCTACAAAAATTTAAAGAAAAATCTGGCAACATAATTTTTTCTGCTTTTTGGGTCACACCCGGCGATGCTCAGGGGTTACTCCTGGCTCATGCACTCAGGAATTACTCCTGACAGTGCTCAGGGGACCATATGGGATGCTGGGAATCGAACCCAGGTCAGCCATGTTGGCTGCGTGCAAGGCAAATGCCCTACCTGCTGAGCTATTGCTCCAGCCCCAACATATCTTTTTAAAATTATACCTTTGGGCCAGCAATTTTACTTTTGGACTCTACTGTAGAGACATATTTACAAAAGCAGACCATAATAAAAGTCTCAGAATCATCTGCTTTTAATAGAAAAAAAATGGAAACAACCTAAATATTCTATCAAGGATCTACAGCAGGAACCTACAACAAAATTCTGTATACTTAAAGAACCAGATGTGAGGGGCTAGCCCCTACAATCAAATCAAGCATATGCATAGCCCCGGGTCATCAGGCCATCACAACAGAAGGAAGAAGAGAAAAAAAATGAGACATATATTTGTGTACCTAAATTATGTGTTTATCTACATTATATATATACATATATATACACATATGTAAGAACAGACTTCTGTGATATGTATGGGAAAAGTGGGTTACTCGAAGATATACATAAGTACATATTTTTGAATACATGCACATACACTGGAAAAACTAAAAAGACATATATAATAAACTCTAATTCTGTTTTCTTGGGTTTTGGTTTCGGTTTTTGTTTTTTTATTTGGGGGCCATACCTATCAGTAATAAGTACTACAGGCAAAGTCCATAGGGGTTGCTCCCAGCAAATTCAGGGGAGCCAAACAATGCCTGGAATTAAACTCATAAGCAATGCATGCTCTATAGTCCTCCAGGCCACACCCACCAGTTCCCCAGGCTTACTCCTGGCTCTGTGTTCAGGGATCACTCCTGACAGTGCTTGGTGAGCATATATGATGCAGGGGATGGAACCTGAGTCAGCTTCTTGCAAGGCAAATATCTTACCCACTGTACACTCCAACCCTTCTCTAATTACTTTTGAGTAGAACTGAGTTGATCAAGAGGAAAGAGACATACTTTCATTAGATAAATTAGACAACAGACAGAAAATTTCATTAAAGTTGTACAATAGCATTAGTTTTTTTTCAACTTTATAGAAACATAATTGACTATTAAAAGTACATATTTAAAGTATATAACTTGAAGATGTATACATTACATAAATTTCAAAATAGTACCACACTCAAGTTAATTAACATATTGGTCACTACCTCACATTGTTACCATTTCTTAGAGGAGTTTGTATTTTAGCATACTTAAAACTTACTCTTAGGTGCCTACCATAGAGACAGGCTGGGGTGCGGGGGGGGGGGGGCTTGAAGGGGTGGGACACTGGTGCTGGGAAATTACACTGGTGGAAGAATGGGTGTTGGAACATTATAATATTGAAATGCAATTATAAACAATTTTGTAATGCTCTATCTCATGATGATTGATTCAACTACAACTTTTTTTTAAATCCACTCTCAAAATATATGTATTTTTTTTTAATTTTCTGACAACAGACACATTGTTGTCAAGTAAATCTCCAGACACTGTTCACCTTAGGTAACTAAAATTTCATACTTTTAGATCAACATCTCATCTTTATTTTTAATAATTTAGTGAGTTTAATCCATGAAGAGTAAAAGATGTTTTTAGGGGGCTGGATTGATAGCACAGTGGGTAGGGCATTTGCTTTGCACGTGGGTAACCCAGGTTCAATTCCCAGCATCCCATATGGTCCCCTGAGCACCACCAGGAGTAATTCCTGAGTGCAGAGCCAGGAGTAACTCCTGTGCATAGCCGGTGTGACCCAAAAAGCAAAAAAAAAAAAAAATTTTTAAATCACTGAATGCTACACTTACCTGGTGAACCCTGGAATTTGGCTCTTTTAACTGCAAGAGAAAAGAGAGAGAGAGACCACCATAAGAATTTTTGCAAACATATTTAGCCAACATTTCTGTGTGGGCATATGCATGATCTGGGAGTCATACATGGCTGTGCTCAGGGATTATTCCTGACTCTGTGCTCAGGGATCAGTCCTGGCATGCAGGAGGATCATATGGGGTACAGAGGATCAAACTCGGGCATGGCCACATGCAAAGCAAATGCCTTATCTGCTGTACTATAGCTCTGGCCCCTAACCAACATTTCTGAGAACCTAGTGTGGCCAAGACTAGATTTTTAAGTCAAAGTCTTTATGTTTCAAAGGGGAAAAAATACCTAGATGCATTAGCAGCCTGATGGTGCCTTCAGACTTCCAGATACCCCAAAATTGCTGCTGTGCCTTTGGCCAGACCCCAAAAACTTGGGGCAAAGTTTACCAAGAAAGTAAACAGCCAAAAGGTAGGTATGTGGGAAACACACCCACAAACCACCTCCAGCTCAGCTATATAATTGGAGGCATGGCCTCTCTGGTTCCTGATTGAACTGCTTAATGCCCATGATCCCTGAGACTCAGAAACAAATCTCAAAACCCAGCGGCTTTTGGCAGAAATGCGTCGGGTTCCTGCAGTAGGTTACTGGTGCTGGGCCAACCCAGGTGGGAATAGGTTTTGTGCCTTGGCCTGTTCCCCCTGGCGGCCTCCAGAGGCCACTGAACAGTCAGGTTTGGGCCCACAGTGACAAGACACGCAGGGCCTCACGAGATGGGGGTGGAGCCGGTCCTGTCCTCCCCACCCCAATGAGACCCCAAGTCATCGCCCACGAACAGCCACTCTGGCTCCTGATCAAGCTGCTTAACTGCCATGATCCCAGAGACTCAGAAACAAATTTTGAAAACCAGTGGCTTTTGGCAGAAATGAGTCTGGACCACACATTTCTGTCCGGTCCTGTCCTCCCCACCCCAACGAGACCCCAAGTCATCACCCACGAATGGCCTCTCTGGCTCCTGATCAAGCTGCTTAATGGTCATGATCCCAGAGACTCAGAAACAAATCTTGAAACCCAGCAGCTTTTGGCAGAAACTCGTCCGTACCCCACAGTAGGTTACTGTCACCGGGGCACCCCAGGGGGGAAAGGGTGTTGTCCCTCCACTTGCATCCCCCTGGCTGTTCAGTGGCCATCATCCTCCAGAGGCCATTGGACAGTCAGGTTTGGGACTGCAGTGATGAGGCATTTTGGGCCTCACGGGATGGGGATGGAGCCGGTCCTGTCCTCCCCACCCCAACGAGACCCCAAGTCATCGCCCACGAATGGCCTTTCTGGCTCCTGATCAAGCTGCTTAATGGCCATGATCCCAGAGACTCAGGAACAAATCTCGGAACCCAGCAGATTTTGGCAGAAATTCCTCCAGATTTAAGTGTCAAAATTTCAGAATTTCAAAATCGCACAGCCACTACTGCTGCTACGCAACATCATATGTTATTCATAACCAACAATAGAAAACAAATTGTCTACTGTTACCTTTTCAGCAGATCTGAGTATTGGGGTAAAATCTCAAATAATAATGGTGGGTCTGGTGTCAAAATATTGAATGTGATCAAAGTAGAGAGAGAGTAATGTGGAAATCATCTGCCCCACAGGTAGGGGGAGGGTGTGGGATGGGGGTTGTTGGGGGTGGAGAATGGGCACTGGTGAAGGTATGGGTGTTTCATTGTATGACTGAGACTTAGACCCAAAAGCTTTGTAACTGCTCTCACGGTGATTCAATAAATCATTCCTTTTTTTTTTTAAATCAGAGCTTTTTCATAATTGAAAAATGAAAAAAAATACCTAGAACTTTTATGGGGGGTGCAGTGGGCACATCCATAGTGCTTAAGTTTCTTATTAAACACATCCATATTGGGGGCAGGGGTTGGGAGGGAAACTGGGGTCATTGGTGGTGGGAAATGGACACTAGTTGAGGGATGGGTGTTGAATCATTGTATGACTAAAACTTGATCATAAACAGCTTTTTAACAATCTAGCTCATGGTGACTCAATTAAAATAATAAATTTTTTTTTAAAAACACACATACATTCACAGTGCTTGGGACATAATCCTATTCTGTGCCCATGGATGGCTCTGAGGGCACTTCGAGGGCCATATGGTGTGCCAGGCATCAAACCCAGGTTGGCCACATATAAGGCCAACCTTACCCTCTAGACTATTGTTCCCACCCAAAAACTGGAATTTCTGGTCAAAGGTGGAGGCATGTACCATAAAGGCAGACTGGGGGTGGACGGTAGAAGGAGGAAAACTGGGGGCATTGGTAGTGGAAAATGTACACTGGTGAAGGGATGGGTGTTGGAACATTGTATGACTAAAACCAAATCATGAACTTTGTAACAGTGATTTAATTTTTTAAAAAATTAAATTAAAAAAAAAGTGGAGGCATAGAGTTAGAAAGGTCCTTAGAAAACATCCAGTGTAATCTCATTTAACAGAAAAACTCTCTTACCTAACAAGGAGGTAAAAGAGTTGTTATTCTTGTGGCAGACAACCATTTTCCTATCCTATCTAAGGCTTATGTCAGTGGTTTTCCACTGCTCATCAGTGATCACTGCCAATCTGCAGAAATTTACTGCCAGTCCTCAAAAAGCTACTGTCAACAGAGTGGTTTTTAACTGCCCATTGCCAATCACAGATGTTAAAGGTTGAAAAGTCACTTGCTAAAGTTAAATTTCTTATTAAAACCCATCATAGAGGGTCAAAGAAATAGCTTAGAGATCAGGGGATTATGTCTTTTCAAGTTGGATAATTTAAATTAGAATTAAGAATTTAAATTAGGGGGGTATGGTGCCGCCAGCAGATCAATCTGTACCTGTGAGGCGAGTGCATCAGCAGCCTCATGGCGCCTTCAGACTTCCAGATACCCCAAAAATTGCTGCTGTGCCTTTGGCCAGACCCCAAAAACTTGGGGCAAAGTTTACCAAGAAAGTAAACGGCCAAAAGTTAGGTATGTGGGAAACACACCCACAAACCACCTCCGGCTCAGCTATATAATTGGAGGCAAGGCCTCTTTGGTTCCTGATTGAACTGCTTAATGGACATGATCCCAGAGACTCAGAAACGAATCTCAGAACCCAGTGGCTTTAGGTAGAAATGCGTCTGGTCTCTGCAGTAGGCTACCGGTGCTGGGCCAACCCAGGTGGGAATAGGTTTCGTGCCTTGGCCTACTCCCCCTGGCGGCCCAGTGGCCGCCATCCGTCTGAGGCCACTGGATAGTCACATTTGGGTCCCCAGTGACGAGACACACAGGGCCTCATGGGATGAGGGTGGAGCCGGGCTTGTCCTCCCCACCCCAACGAGACCCCAAGTCATCGCCCACAAATGGCCTCTCTGGCTCCTGATCAAGCTGCTTAACAGCCATGATCCCAGAGACTCAGAAACAAATCTCAAAACCCAGTGGCGTTTGGCAGAAATGCATCCGGACTCCACAGTACGTTACTGTCGCCGGGCCACCCCAGGGAGGAAAGGGTGTTGTCCCTCCGCCTGCTCCCTCTTGGCGACTTGGTGGCTGTCATCCTCCAGAGGCCATTGGACAGTCAGGCTTGGTCCCGCAGTGACGAAACTTGTTGGGTCTCACGGGATGGGGGGGGAGGTGGAGCCGGGCCTGTCCTCTCCACCCTAACGAGACCCCAAGTCATCGCCCACAAACGGCCTCTCTGGCTCCTCATCAAGCTGCTCAATGGCCTTGATCCCAGAGACTCAGAAACAGATCTCGAAACCCAGCGGCTTTTGTCAGAAATGTGTCCGGACCCCGCAGTAGGTTACTGTCACCGGGCCACCCCAGGGGGGAATGGGTGCTGTCCCTCCGCCTGCTCCCTCTTGGCGACTTGGTGGCTGTCATCCTCCAGAGGCCATTGGACAGTCAGGCTTGGTCCCGCAGTGACGAAACTTGTTGGGTCTCACGGGATGGGGGGGGAGGTGGAGCCGGGCCTGTCTTCCCCACCCCAATGAGACCCCAAGTCATCGCCCACAAATGGCCTCTTTGGCCCCTCATCAAACTGCTCAACGGCCATGATCCCAGAGACTCAGGAGCAGATCTCTAAACCCAGTGACTTTTGGCAGAAATCCCTCCAGATTTAAGTGTTAAAATTTCAGAACTTCTCGCCACTCAATGCCTCTTTGGCTGATCACAGCGCCCAGGAGGAGAGAGAGAACAGGGGGGAATGCCCTGCCACAGTGGCAGGGGGGGATGGGGGGATGGGAGGATGGGGGGGAGGGATATTATCCTGGTGGTGGAAAATGGGCACTGGTGGAGGGATGGGTATTTGATCGTGGTATGACCGAGATCCAAGCACAAAATTTGTAAATCTATAACTGTACCTCATGTTGTTTCACTAATAAAAAATAAAAAAAAAAAATAAAAATAAAAAATAAAAAAAATAAAAAAAATAAAAAAAAATTTCAGAACTTCAAAACCACATGGCCCTACTGCAGCCACACGACATCATATGTTATTCATAACCAGCAATAGAACACAAATTGTCTATTGTTGCCTTTTCAGCAGATCTGAGTGTTGGGGTAAAATCTTAAATAATGGTGGGTCTGGTGTCGAAATAGTGAATGTGATCAAAGTAGAGAGAGAGTAATGTGGAAATCATCTGCCCCACAGGCAGGGGGAGGGTGTGGGATGGGGGTATACTGGGATTTTTGGTGGTGGAGAATGGGCACTGGTGAAGGTACGGCTGTTTCATTGTATGACTGAGACTTAGACCCAAAAGCTTTGTAACTGCTCTCACGGTGATTCAATAAATAAAATTATAAAAAATGGAAAAAGAAAAAAAAAGTAAGGTGGAGTTCATGTACAATTCAATCAGCTAATCAGTGGCTGAATAAATAGCAGTACTCCTACAAAAAAAAAAAAAGAATTTAAATTAAGAATTTAAAACAGGTGTTCCTCAAAAAATAAGCAAGTTATAGACATTTATACTCCTATGTTCATTTCAGCATCATTCACAATAGCCA